ACTGGTGAGGCAGCAGGAAGCTGAGCCTCACTTTGGATTGGCCAACCTCTCGCTAACTGCACTGGCTGCCACTCAATGGGAGCATGTTCCTCCTGTCTGTATGTCGCCAATAAAATGATTAAAAATCTTGTAATTTATAAACTGATTTTCCATACGTTATATAGATAAGCTAATCTGTATAATGTACAGTGTTTGTTGTCACCAACTCTGTGTGTAACGTGGTTCGTGTGCTGAGGAGTGATCAGAAACGGCAGAGAACAGACTCGAGGTGAGGCAGGCAGTTGTCTTGCCTCATGGCAGGGGGCGCTCATGATCCCATACATTGTGACTCTGTCTGCAGAGTAAGAGACAGTGAGCAGTAAATAGGTGAAGCTACACACAACTAGTTTATGTGTAGCTTAGCCGATACAGAGAGCAAGAAAAAGGTGGTTTTGAGTTGTACTTCAGCGGGTTTTCCCTTTGCTGTGCAGCATAGAACTAAATTAATAATATCTATATTTCCAAGTTTCATTAAGTTAATGGAATTATTCTACCTTGGCAGCGCGGCTATGGATGGCATGTGAAAGTGTAGTCTTTTTGCCCTTCAATGTTGTCTGCATGCGCAAAATGTCCATATGTGAACAACAACATGCAGGGGGTCTTATGATGTCAGTGCCTCACCAGCCATGAACCTCACTGCACATCACTGCCCACTACACAAATACATATGAAATAATATGCTTCAATCCATTGAGCATTCAAGTTTCTGCAGCTTGGAGTTGGAAAATAAGTAGAAAAATTATGATACAGTGAAAATACTTAAATTGTTTATAGCTACGCATGAATGAATTCAGCAAGGCAGCCTCATTATCAACAAAGGACTGTACTGGAGTCATTCATGCACAGTTGAAAATATTTAGCAGCTTATAAATATTTGACCACTTTTCATCACCTTCATCCCCAGATTGTCTGCTGATCCTTAAAAATTGAAGAAAGCTTAATGACATTGATATCAAAGCATGCTGGTGCAATACAACATTGTTTATTCTACACCATTTATCCTAATACCCATGTACTATGCAATAAGTCCCAAGTGACCTTGGGTACAGCTTTTGCTATGGGTATAGAGCAGTGGTTCTTAACCTGGGTTCGATCGAACCCCAGGGGTTCGATGAGTCGGTCTCAGGGGTTCGGCGGAGCCTCTGTCGCGGAGGTAAAGACACACTTGTGTAAAGTCGTGATGACGCCCCGCTTTGCCATCACTTGCTGCAGAGGATCACGTTACATCGCTCAGCCAATCAGTGCTGCGGAGGAGCACGCACGCCCCCCCTCCCCCTCCCCCCCCACACACACACGCTCAACAGTTTCCAGCAGCGCAGGCGACATTGTATTTATCAGAAGGGTTCAGTGAATGCGCATATGAAGCTGGGGGGTTCGGTACCTCAAAAAAGGTTAAGACCCACTAGTATAGAGCCTTAGATCCTCTTTTTACCAGATCACAAAGATAAGTTTGTAAAAATTGATAGAGGCACTGCTGCAAATTATAAACAGTTTATTGAATTCACAAATGTTTCATGAGTAAGAATAGTCATGATTTATTTTAATATACAAAGTGACCACACTAAAAGTGGGAGTCTATGCTGGCCCTGGGATCCTTAAAGCTGAAAATGAGTTAAAACCCAATTAAATAAAATTAGACTGCTTGGGGGAGGAATAATAAAGAAAACACAAATATAACTAAATGCACCTAAGTGTTCCCCAACAAAAACACACTCACACAAAAATCCCTGGTGAATACAGCAAAAGAAAGAAAAACTCCCCTTCCACTAGTCTTCTCAATCTAAATAAAACAGCTTAGGACCCAGGGACAGCATAGGTCCATGTTTAAAACAAGCCAGAGGGCTACAATAGAAACTCCCTTCCCCTAAACAAAACCAAAAAAATAGAAAGTACTTTTAATCAACAATAACTATCCAAAAAAGAACTAAAACAAAACTGAAATTAAAGCAAATCAAAAACTGAAACAGTAGCAGGCCAACATACACACAAAAGAGATCTAGTAAGACAACCACCTTAAGCAACCAGATAATGAGAAACTGTCTTTACCTTCTCTAAAGTGAAACTGGTCAACGGCTCTCTGTACGTCACTCTCTAGAAGTAAGTGGCCTAAAACGATCAAGTTGAGGAATCAGAAATAATTCTAAACCACCTCAAGATCAATGTCAAAAAAAAAAAAAAAAGAATCATCAGCCTGGGATCTGCTCTCCTCAGTGATCTACCTGCTTTTAAATGTAAACGCCGATTACCTGTCTCCCTAACAAGCCAGCTGCGCTCTGTCGCAGCGTCTTCCATGTATGGGCAAGAGGAAGAGTGCGGAGCAGCCCACTTCCGGGACAAGATGCCCCGGCTACACCAATATGAAATAAATAAACACACTTCAAAGATGTGCCAGGCCTTGACTAGTCACTAAATGTGCTTCCTTCAAGTCATTCTCTAATACATTATCATATGTGGTAAACAGTGAGATAGCAGTTAAAGACAAATCAGGCTTCTGGTTCTGGTTCATTTCTAGAGCATTTTTTAGATTAACTAAAGGTTTCTACCTCCCATCTATCTGTAGTACAAAAATCACCATTAATAAGATAGTTCTATTTTTCAATAACTTAATGTCTGTTCTCCATGCATTTCCTACCTTGTGCCTTACTTCATCAGAGGATGTGATGGGTTATACATGTAATAACATTGCTATTGTTGTCTTTCTAGGGGAGTTTTCTGCATTCAAGTAATTACAGCCAGCACAATAGTCCATCTCTCATCACCTTTCAAATGTCTTGTGTTCTTGCAATGGATTCATCTATCCCTGGAAAATAATAATAATAATAATAATAATAAAAAAACAATCTTGAAGAATGTGCAGTTTTCTTCCTTGGCCTGCCATGAAGGAGATGCATTCACTAAAGGTTCTTTCACAACAAAAACGAAGGACAGATAAGGGATTGAAGAAAGTTATTGAAGAAAAACAAGATGCAAGATTTTTGGACAAAATTGGTTTTAGATGAAAAGCCGTGAACTCCATAGATCGGTTTGTATCTTTGAAACAAAGCTGGAATTTTTGTTCCAGCTTTGCTTCTGAACTGCAAAGCTGGAACTGAACTGCTTTTTGATGGACTGCAGAGCTGTGCCAGATGAAGAGGCCTCTCGTCTGAAATTAGTCCCCTGATTGAAGCCGGTGTTTTTCTTGAAGGATGTTAACATAAACATTGTTTTTCACTTCTCACCCTTTCATACTGTCGCTACCTTTTGCTTAGAGCACCGCCCATCCGAAAAGCCATTTTAGAGGAATGGTTCCTTGGAATTGTGCTGCAGGATGTCTTGTGTTTCTTTGACTCTTTGTGATCTTAATTCTGCAACAGAAAAAACTGTTTTGCCTTCATGTTTGGACTATGCCAGTGGTAAGGAACAGAAACTCAAATCTACAGTTTTTGTTATTTTGAAAGAATCTCCGAGTCCTCTGTAAACTTGCTGGTCAGATCTGATTTTCTAACAGCAAATTCTATTGGTCAAAGTTTTTTATATAGGCAAATTTCCTTCTACCTTTTATCCGACTTTGGGATTATCTAGCCGCATCTCCCTAAAGCAGTCTGGAGCCCCCCAACTAACTGAACCATTCATCGGTTCTGGATGAGACATCTTTGAAGTATCTAAACTGCAGAAGTTCCTCCACACTGTCCTTGTATTCAAACTGTCCACTCATTCATTCTAGATGGCTCCTGCTTACTCTGAATCAGAAGGTTTGTAAGATTGATAGAGGGAATAAAAATGCAGAAAAATTAAAATGTTTTAAGTTTTAACAGTACACCAAATAATAGTATCCCAAAATAAAAGCGGGAGGATTGATGTAGTGAGTGAATGAATGAACACTCTGAATGCAAGTCCCATGTACAGCGCTGATGACGTCTTTAGACTTCCAGATTGTTTCCCCAGATAGTCACCATCTCTTCCTTCCTCTACTGAGCGAAAAAGTTGCACACTCTTTAAATTTTGGACCCAGCTTTTTGCTGCTTATGAATGACGGCCTAAGATAGTAAACCAGATCTCTAACCAGCTTTTTTATTTTCTCTGAACCATGCTCCATCATTCATTTCATTGTTTGTTGAAGGATTTAAGGCGTTAATATTGGTTCCTTAAATTTAGTTTTTATTGTTTGCCTTCTACTATACAGGCAGGTCTGCAGATTTTGACATATTTATAAGGTTCTTTTTTGTTTTTGTTTTTTATAGCTTTATGCTCAGAATAGTTCAGTCTTTCTTTTAATGTTTGTTTTAGTCATTGTAACCTGTGTACTTGCACTTTGTAGAGAGCGACTAAGCAATTGGCCTTTTTTTTCTCTCACCTGAAGAATGAGTTACAATTTGAAAAGCAGATGAATCTTGATTTAAGTGCCACTTAGTCATCCACAGAAGCTGGACAATGAATATTGAGTTGCACACACTCAGAAATGATGTTTCAAAAAGTGAAGTCCAACATAGCACAAAAAGCTTTCAACCTTGATTTTGAACCATCTTACCCTGACCTGTTATTTGCACTTCTTTTCTTTTTTTACTTTCCTCTGAGCTTTGGTTCTCGTTCCCTCAGCAAATGTTTATAGTTTTTCTGTTTGAATTGGAATAGACTCCATTAAGCCAACACAGGACTATAAAACATCTGTAAGATTAATGCTATATGCTATAGTCTACGCAGTGCTGCTATCTTTCATTGCAAACTACCCAGCAGACTCCAGAACTGTCACTGGTGTAGATACTAAATGGAACAGCTAGCAGTCTGAGCCACAGAATTGAGGAGCAAATGGGGCAACAGAGCTAAAAAAAGCAACATGTGTTATAAAAAGGATTATGTGATACTCTCTGACTATTAAACATCTAGAACTAGAAATTAGAAAAAAAAATTTCAAGGTTATTCCCATTTCAAAAATCACATATCAGTGTTTAAATCACCCTAACATGAATAGCAGCCCCACTTTGGAGAGGGAACACTGATTGAGGGATCTAACCAACGTAAAGAGCATCCAAGCTGCTTAAATAAAAATAAAAAAATCTTTTCAATTTGCCAGTCATCGTCTAGCTGTGGGATATGACTGAGAGTGTTTCAGGTGTAGCCGACTTCCATGAAATAACATTATGAAAGGTTGATGGTGGAAGCTAAATATATTTTAAGCAAGGAAATCTTGAAAGAATAGAAGCAGTAGAAGTAAATTATGCATATTATTCAAAGCAGATATAGAACTGAAAATTGACTTCTGACACAACAAGAGCCTTTGTAACAGATATACAGGTCTATACCTTGGTAATGTCATGTAGACCTGCAGGAGCACTGTTATCTGACAGTTTACTTACTGAACTCTCTCATTAATCCCAAAGATCCTCTGTGTCAGATATATGAGTGATCTTCATGAAAGTGAGTGAAGAGGAAAACTTCTCTTCAAGCTTCTTCTCTTTGTTGAAGCTGCAGTATGTAACTTGTACAATTTGGTGAAACACTCACCATGGTGTGACAGTATAATATGTGACAAATAATCTGTGAAGAGATCAAACTCATATCAGTACTCCTACTACCATCTGCAGAAAGGCACCGCTTCCAGTCAGAAACCATCAATCAAAGCCAGGATGAGAGTCTTAGCACTGTCAGTCAACCTCAGGTATATGTTGCTCAATGTGCTACTGGTGGAGAAACAATTTACCATTCAAGGAAAGTTGTTCATTCACTGTCATTGGCTATGCTAACTATCCTGAGCATTCATGGCAGGCTCTATGGTGAAGACCTATCTGTAACATAGAACTAGCTGTAGCTCATCTGCCTCATTCCACAGGCAGATGAGCTTTTTTTTTTTTTTTTTTTTCAGATTTTCTGTCCATACAACAAATATGTAAAACTGTCTTGATATTTCACTTGTTGACTCCTGATAATTAGCTGCACCAGCATCTAATCCTACCCAAAGTATTTGATCAAAATGAACGAGGGACTGATTATCTATATCTGTCATCTAATGTCCAACACTGTTTTAAGTTCCCTACCACTTGCCATCTGTGGCATTAGATTGAAGTGGCATTCAGGACCAAATGATGTTCCGTTGAAAGGCAAAACTCTAGACAGTTTGGGTAGGGCGTCGGTGTCTTTAGACTGTTTACATATTTGTTAGTGTTGCTGAGTTAAACCATCATAAGTAAAACAGACCAATGAGGGAAGACTTTCAGAAATTATTGTTACTTCCTAATATGAAGCAGGGTGTTTCAAGTAACTGTTATTGGATGAATGTGTTTGCGTATGTCCATGCACATCAGAATAGGATTACTTGTCAAAACCAGAACAGTAATTACTTTCTACTGAAAGCTGCCAGAATTTGATTATTTTCAATAATAGTTTTTGTCACACATAGTCATTTGCTACTACAGAAAATACAGGCAGACTTGGTTTACAGTAGAACATATTTAATTTAGTGGGTAGGGTGTCAGTCTGTAAGAT